TGTTCTCGGCTTGCCCGGAGGTTCGATTGGTCTGTCGTTGGCGGTGCTGACCCGCTGACCTTCGATATGGCTCAGGTCTCCTCCAAGGCAAAACGCTTTGAGCACAACTGGCTTCTTGCTGCAAGGCCCACTAAGGCTTCCGATGTGGCCGCCGTCAGGAAGGCTGTGAGTTCCGTAAGGTGTTTGTGGTCCCAGGCCTGCCATCGTCATGCCGCCATCTCCACTGCGACACAGACCCTGCTGCAATCCCCAGACTGGTTACAGGAACGCACACATTTTCAGCGCAGCCACGCACCCTACGCCTTGCTCCGGGATAGCTTGCAGTTCCCACGTGGCCACGTTGTCTGCCCAGATGACAAGGTGCGCCAGTTTAGATGGGTCATGCCCTACACGGCGTACTTCCTTTTGATTGCATGGTTTGTTTCTGTCTCGCAAACGTGGACCACTTCTTCCATGTCTACTGATGAGGCAAATTCCTGGTGCCGCGCTATGCTTTTGGCCCTAGTGCCGCCCCTGCTGCATGCAAGGATGGGCATTACACGCCGAGGCTGGTTCCTTCCATACATGTACGGGACCGTGAAAGCCAAATGCTTTGGATCTGGCCCTGATGCGGGTAAACATGTCTGCAACAAGCCTGGACATTCATGCTTGCGCCGCATCGTCTCATATGCTACATGGAAAGCACGCCGCAGTTGGCGTGCAGCTGGCCGTGCACTGAGTTTTATTGCCCAGAGCGTCCTTCTGACTGATGAGGTGCCGTCTTTAAAGCAGGCCAGGCCCTTTATGGCTGAGGGCCTGGAACGTTTGCAGCCTTGCCGGGAAGTACATGTCTGTGATCGCTGCCATGGCCCATGCGAAGGATTGCAAGGCATCGTGGCTGATGCTGGCCAGTTCTTCGAAGCCGTGCAAGTCCCTGATGCTTGTGAGGCGGCTGACCGCGTTCTGAACTTAGCTGAGCTTGATGGCCACTCCTCAGTCACTGTTGCTGGGAAGAAACATGTTTTCTTTGGTGGGAGCATCTACCGCTCCATGCAGCAGTGCCTTGTCTTCTCGTTGGAGGAGCTTTATTGGCTATTCACTGCAGCTTGCAACATGCGGTTTGCCCACACAGGCACGCAAGTCTGGACATTCTCCGGGCTCCCTATAGGGGGTCTGTTATCCAAGACGGCCACGTCCTTTGTTCTTGGGTGGCAAGAGCA